ACACACACACACACACACACACACACACACACACACACTGGCAAGGACTGGCAGCAAACTAACATTTCCAGCATCAGAGGCTGCTGCTTATGTGGGGTTTATAGTATTTTGTAATGATATTAAGCTCACTTCTCTCACCTTTTGTCTACCTGCTTTGATTCGGTCACCTCTTTGTCTACCTGCTGTCTTAGTATCTATTGCGACGCGTTTGCTTAAAGAGTCTGCCTCCGTAGATGAGATCGTATTTTTATTCATATTTTTATAGGAAAACTCAAATTCTCTTTCCTTGCTTTTACTGTAAATTCACATAATGCTGTGCACATTAAAGAAAATGTAATATGAAAGAAGTTGATTTTATTTGTCTGGTTTGTTCAACATGTTTATTTGTGACACACTGCAAACTCAGAAACAGTCTGCTTTCTGGTAATAAAAAAAAATATTTGATTAAATGGCTTTTAGGGCTTTGTTTAAAGCCCTTTTGGGCTGCTTTAACCTCTGTGTGGTCGTTTTAAGACTTACTTTATTTGTGTACAAAAAAGGCATAGTCCTTGAACCCACAGCAATTAATAATGCAGTATTTAAAGAGCAGCCAGAAATAAGCTCATGGTTACTGAAATCAAGTGGAGAGAAATGAATCACAATGCTTATTCATTCTCCTATAGTGAGTATTTGGACTGTGTATTGAACATCAAAACATTTATTTTTATTTTTATATACATTTCAGCGTCTCATCAATCCTCTAATGAAATGATTTTTTTTTTTCTCTTTTATTAATGTTAGTAGCCTACATCAATGTTATATTTTAGTTTCATTGAGATACTATTATAGTTTTATCATTTATCATTTTTAGATTTTCAGTTTTCATTTTATTTTTAGTTTTGATTTGAGTAATTTTGTTGTCATTTTGACATTGTTTCTAGTTTTGTGTGTGTGAATATGTGTGTGTGTGTGTATGTATATATTAATACATCAAGTTAAACTAAATGCAGATGAGAAATACTGCCTTGGCAACTAGGTGAAATGAAGCAAGTTTTTGTATATTCCTTTTTATTGCAAGTAATAACTTTTATTGCAAGCTTTTTTTTTTTGTTGTTGACTATAATAATTCTGGCCTATGTCTTCATATACTGTATATCATAAGCACAATAAAGACGTTAAAAACATAATCTGAAAATATTTCCTTTCATTGTCACATAAATAATGGGAAAGCCTTGCAGGATAGCCCACATTTGATAGGAAATTTGCCTATATTTAAATCTGTATAATGCTTCAAAGGAATATTAGCACCCCCTGCGGGCGCTGTGTATAATAACACAGACTCATCTGGTGGACCGTCAGAAGTGACACCCATCCTTGAATCGGATTTTTTAATTATTATTAAAAGTGTCAATAGATAAAACAATATGTAGCCTAATAATTAAAATTGAGTAAAACGTAAGAACTTCAGAAGTTTAGGGGTGAAAGAAATATCTTTTTTGTTGTTCGGGTTTATAAAGAACACCATATGCAGCTTCTCTTTGAATCGACTCTTGGACGACTCGGACATGACCGGAAGTGTTGATTGTTCAGAGAGCACGAGTTCGATTCAAGACTCGTATAATCTGATTTCTGAATCATTTCGACCATTAAACTAGTATAAAGAAGACCTGTAAAGGTCCTTTATTGCCAAGAAATCCTTTGAATTTTATTTATAGTGCAACTCATTTCTTGTTGACGAATCGATTGCAATGATGAATGTAACGTTACATTTGGAAATTGATAGGCTATATATAAATAGCCTATGGCCCTATGTGTAAGATAAAAGAAGTAGGGCTATTTGTCCAGTAAATATTGAGATATTAAAAAAGCATACTGTCACCATGCAAAACTATTAGGACTATTGTTGTTACAAGACCTCCTGTTGGTAAGCTAAATAAAGACAATAGCAACCATGATGTCTTTTCAGTTATTCATTGCGTCCATTTGAAGCAGGGAGTCATTAAGTTAATTCAATGTTCAATTACGTGCGTTTAATATGTAATATAATACAAGCTGCTATGTACTTTGACATCACTAGGCCTATTACACCCAGAAAAAATGTACGTTAGTGAATAACACAGAAGATTTATAGTTTAGGAGATTGTTCATTTTCCTCTATAGCCCCATGGGCATCACAACACCTGTTTCTTTCATGTTGTTGTTGTCGTCAGAATATCTTCTGTGTTGAATATACACAAAACATTGCATTGAGTCACAGACCTTCACCTTTTTTCTGCTGATAGATATCTCAACTCTGAGCAGCCATCCACCACCACCAGGTGTTCATTTCCACAGGCAGCACAGTTGAATCATCGTCACTATAGAAACAAACACTAAAAAAAAAGTGTACCTCCTGTCGCACTATATATTCAGCTGCATGGAAAACTTGAATCAGGGAAATAACCTACATTTTTGTCCAAATTTCAATTGTTTTAAAGGAAATAAACGTATTTGTCTGTGTTGTCTTTTTGAGATAACTGTGTTTATTGAATCTGGGGGTAAAATTGGTTTGTTTTGCAAAGGTTTTCAGGACAATGACCTACTGAATGAACAAAGGAGTGATTTTAGTGACTAACGCTGTTTGTAAAAAATATAAAGTAAGCAGGACGTGTGCCTCCTGGGATAAATGACCAACTGTGCTGAGTGAATGAAGGAAAAAAATAAAAACAACACACACTATATATAAGTGTACTTTTGTACTTTTCCACAAGGGACCCAAAGCTTCATTGCATTCAACAAAATTAAAATAAAAAAGAGATTATTCGATTTGAATACATCACAAAGCCTGTTATGCTGTCTATATCACAGACCAGGTTTTAAAATCAGTATTATTATGATTATGAAATTAATCTGAAATGGAGTTGTGAGTGGTCATATGACCCAGAGGAAAACAATGCCAGCTGGGTGAACTAATCAGCTTAAGTGCTGTAAAACTGGTTTGAATTAATCTCTAAAAGTAAAGTTTTTAAAATGCAGCTCTGTATTTACCCTTTTAAAACTTTCCTGGAATAACACTGTCAAATCCAATTCGCAATATATTATAGTTTTGAGAAGGCCCAGGGTGGAGGAATATAAATCCAGGTTGCTTTTTGCAAGAGAAACTGAAGAAACTATTTTCTTTTATTTCCTTTACATTTGATTCAGAACTAAAGTGCAACTAAAAAGTCATCTGTGTATTTCTTTAAGGCACTAAAAAATCATAAAATGCAATAAAATCATCAATCCCTGCATGTCAGCAGTCATTCCTCACAACATATATTGATGTCAAGAGGATAGTTAAATTACAGCTGCTGATGTGCACGACAGTTAAGAGCCCCTTTCCAAATGAACCGTGGCAGGTTTAAATGATCAGTCAGTCGTCAATGAGGTTTTACAGTAGGAGAATGACCAATGTCAGCACTAACCTGGATTTTATTGACCTTAAGGTCATAAATAAAAGCTGAGACTAAGTTAGAGTGGTGTCCTCCTTCCACTCACTCTGTGTCAAACAGCAGAACACACTTTTTATTGACGAGTTCATAAATCTGGAACAGCAGAACCAGGACTAGGTCACCACTAGGTGGCGATAGGACACTTTAAATAACTGTTCTGTATATGAACTTTGTGGCGCAGACACAAGAGGGCGACAAATAAAAACCACATTATCACGTTACGACAAAGCTATTGTTAAAATGACACGTTGGCCAAATCATTTCAAAAATATTTTGTTGTATTTTTCCATGATATCATGATAAGCATCCTCCACTCAAAAAAAGACTCAATAAGCACAGAAAATCTGTCATATGCGTCACGCTCACGGGGCCTTTAAACAAAAAAAACAGTAACATCCCTTGGCAGGTGGTGGATGAAGATCATGCATAGCTGAAGAGAAAGTCATAGGTTCAGAATTTCACACTTCGGGTTTAGTGACTACCGGTAGGCAGTGTAAAGTTGACCACAGTAGTAAACTTCCTTCTATCTGCTTTTTGAGAAGCAATATAACAATTAGCAGCATATTTGCCCAACCACAACCTTCACGCTACAGTAAAGCTTATAAATAGCCATTGATACATATTGAAAGACAGTCCAATGCGGTGAGATACACTTCATAAAGTCTCTGAATGCGGAGCATTGAGTCGTTGCATGTAATTATTGATGTTTTGAGCTCACTTAGTCACTGATGGAAGGTCGATGTATATGAATTTAATGCTACACAATGCAATAAGTGTACTAACCAGTTTGGTCATTAGGGTGATTAATGACGCTATAAATCAAAATTATAACCAGAAAATGATAGCCTATTTATTCATCCTGGCATCAAATGCAGTGTTTGGTGAATTAATTAAATGAAGAACGGAAGTAATAGAATATTAATTTTCAATTTTTTCTTCTTTCTCTTCCTCACGTTATCATTAATATCAATTTCAGTAAATTGTATAAAATCATTTCTTATTATAAATGAAATGTTCAATCGCAAAATATATTATTATTTATATTTATGCTGGATTTTGAATAAAGTATTTTACAATTATTTATTTTATAATTGTATTTATATTATATTTTAAAAATATAACTGAATATGCTTAAATAAAATAAAAAAACACTGAAAAGGGATAATAAACTAAAACAAAATAGTTAGGAGGCTATTACTTTACTTACATTTCAACAAAATGTTACAGTATTGTTTAAAACCCACATACAAAATAATACAAAATTAGAGTCCGGCCATTTTTATTTGATGATTATTTATTTTATTATATTTATTATTGCTTTAAAGATTTATAGATACAGCCAAGGGCTACACTAGGATCAAAAGGAGAGAGAGAGAGAGAACATTAAAATTGAAATAGACATAAAAAGAAAACATTAGAATGTTTACAAATATTAACACTTAATATTTGATGTTTATGGAACTTCCCCAATAATAATTAATTGTAAAATGTCAGCAGCCAATCATCGAACTCCGTTCCTCCACCGCCAGTGACGTAACTGCCACAGATCTTTCTGCGCTCACCTGAGAGACCCGTTCCATCCAAAGGCACGCGCGCCGTGGAGTAACGACCCGCAGCGTTTGCGGAGAGTACAACAGCAAGCATTTTAAACTGAAGTGACCCAATCCGAGCGCGAGTCACCCGACTGCACATTCTCTCACTCAGTGAATACCGGGGTTGCGGGGAGAGAGAGCGAGGGAAAAAACCCACATACAAAATAATACAAAATTAGAGTCCGGCCATTTTTATTTGATGATTATTTATTTTATTATATTTATTATTGCTTTAAAGATTTATAGATACAGCCAAGGGCTACACTAGGATCAAAAGGAGAGAGAGAGAGAACATTAAAATTGAAATAGAAATAAAAAGAAAACATTAGAATGTTTACAAATATTAACACTTAATATTTGATGTTTATGGAACTTCCCCAATAATAATTAATTGTAAAATGTCAGCAGCCAATCATCGAACTCCGTTCCTCCACCGCCAGTGACGTAACTGCCACAGATCTTTCTGCGCTCACCTGAGAGACCCGTTCCATCCAAAGGCACGCGCGCCGTGGAGTAACGACCCGCAGCGTTTGCGGAGAGTACAACAGCAAGCATTTTAAACTGAAGTGACCCAATCCGAGCGCGAGTCACCCGACTGCACATTCTCTCACTCAGTGAATACCGGGGTTGCGGGGAGAGAGAGACGCGTCTCCAGCGAAACGGACCGTTAAAAGATGTGATTATTTTCCATTTCTGTCTCCGACAGGTGTCTTTATTTTACAGGTGAGTGAGCGTTTGTT